ATATTTTATTTGCAAAACAAGATACGTACCTAAACTCTTATCTTTTTACTGCAAATTCATGGTTAAAGTTTTTATTTTAAGAAACTGCTAAAACTTTTATCAAGATGTTCTTATACAAAAATGCCCATGTTGTTTACACAATTTAAAAAATTCATTTTTGCGACCACACCCTCTGATCCCGTCCATGTATGTTTGTTATGTTCTTCTTTGAAAATCAGTCTCATTTGACTATGGATCCACCCTTGGGCATATAAAACTTGCTTATGATGCTGTTAATGACTTTGTAATCTTAAACATCTTTGAATAAAGTTATGTAACAATGAATTATTAGAAAACTACCAGCTAAGCTTTCGCTTGTATTAGAAAAGTTTCAGTGGCATAAAGAGTTATTGTGGCAGAGGCAGAATAAGTAAGGGGGCTAATAAGCCTTTTAGCAACTGATATCTAAATTGAAAAATTCATGCTATAAAAAGTATATAGGTTGACAAAGAGAAATGACATCCTTACTAATATATATTTTTATCATGGCACAGTAAAATATTCAATAAGCAGCTTAACACGTCTATCCAAAAGGTGCATTCATTAACTCTCTGCGCTTGTAGTGTACTATAATCATTCAAGTGAAAAAAATAATGTAATAAAAAAGGCAATAAAAAAAGGTGAAACATACATTAAAAATAACCAAATGTAGCTTAAACTCAAAGTAAAGTATTTACGTGAGTTTCTTACATACAGCAACAAAATGTAAAAATCTAGTGCAACAGTGCCGAAGAGCTTGTGATAATTGCTTAGCTTGGAAGTTTTATACTATTTGATACGAAGGAATATATCAATAATTTGAAGTCTCCAATCAAATGGATTCATCTATTGAAACCAGTGTCGCATTATTCACAGGGCACTTTGGACCTTCTCCCTAGCCCCCCTTTTAGATAGGCCCTAAATTTTCTAAACTAGTTAGATTTTTTTCGGCAAGAATTTATGACAGATTGTCAAAATACAATTTTTGAACAAATGAATTTTACTTCTATCACATCGGTAGCCATTATTACATTACTTTAGAACAGTCTTATGGCAGATTAAAGAAATTAGCAATTGTGCACCCTACGCCCCAGGTCTCGCTCATTCGCTCATGCACAAAAATAACACAGCAGCTGATTGCTACCTTTAAATTGTTGCTTTCTTTTATTCTATATGACTGGTAAAGAAAGTGTGTGCTTCCTCTCAGCTTGCACAGATCGTTAGATTTTCAGATAAAGCTAACAAAGAACAAGCTGTGTTAAGGAATGAAATTGAATGCGAAGAGAGAAAAGGTAGAAACATTTCTTTGGAAAAACAAGGCTATCACTGAATTCTTATTTGAAAATATTTCTGAGCAATATGCTGCTGCAATACTTCTTGAATGCCCACCTTGATATGTAGAGTAGCTACAGTTGAAAGAAGCACCTCTACTTTATAGAGAGCAAAAGTAATTTTTATCTCTACAATACAGCAAAGTCGTCTGATGGGCTATGTTTAAATTGCTACAAATTTTGGTTTCCTAAGGGAAAATGATGCCAAGAGCATAAGAAGGGTTGTTTGCTTCTGCCAGGACGGGAAAGCCGCACATATCTGGGCATCAACTTTGGACATAATAGAATATTTAGCATATCGTGTTGTGAAACAACGCAGGGAATCTTAAACAGTTTACTTACTTCTTATGTTAACACCATTCACACGGTTGTTGTTTAATTATGTCGACATGGGGGCCCCTGTCTAAATTTTGAATCAAGGGTAGTTTATTCCAATCCAATGTTGAGTGGTGCTGCTGGTATTGGTAGTGCACCTAAATGCTTCATTTTGGTATAAATAGCGTCCAAAATTATCTTCGCTATATATAGATCCGTTCCTTGCTTGCTGAAAGTTAACATTATAGTAGGAATCAAGGTGAAGATGTTCGTTTTCACGTTGCCAAAAATCAACTAATTGCTCCGTAGCGCTGTACCCTCTAACGTTTACAAGTTCTACATGTATAGGAGCTTTACTTATGTAACAGCAAAGTGGATCAAATGCAGAAAGTTTGAATCTGAAGTAATCTTGATAATCAACACCAAAAACATCGAAGCTGCATGTTGCCCTCCAGTGGGTTGATCTTGACTTGATTTTCTCGATCCTTGTCTTGCTGAGTCTAAAAAGATGGGTAACTACAAATTAAGAAAAATATCGACTGTTTCTGGCGACACCCTCTCATACTTTTTTTGGAACTTTGAGAGAATTGGAATTGAAAGTTTCTAAAATAACTAATTAAACAAACTCATATCTTTATATGTTATATAAACAAATTCATAAATAACGTTTTTCTAAATAACATCTTTTAGAAAAAAATTTAACGATTGTTTATAAATGTCAAAAGCACTTTCATAGCAAACTGTTCTTTTTCATTGATCAGTACTGTGAGAGCTCCCTAAGAAACCCCCTTAACTTCTATTCTATTTTTAGTATTTTCATATAGAGAGGGTGGAAAGAGGCGAGAGGGAGGTCGAAAAGAAGCTAGGACGGGGAGTACGAAAAGATTGTGAGAGCAACAAAAGTTGACGGTATTCTAGTGGAAAGGGGAAATTTTTTGCTGTCATCGTTTTGTTCGAGCTTTATATCCTAATCTTGGAGAAGTTGAAGTATTTTTTCGAGTAGAATCTATGCGCCTTTGGATATTGGTTTGAATGAACAAGAACTCGTTTAATCAGGCTAACAGTAGTACCTTTACAAAGTCAGACGAGGCTCTTTCAGATTTTTTAATATAAGTATGGAAATGTAATATGAGTAATTACAAAAACTTCTAAAAAGGTATTAGCGCCTCCCCTTCGTTGACATCTAAAATGTACAAAATGTGTTTCCTTGCGCAACAGTTTCATGATAATTTAAAACACACAACAGTAAAAAGACTTAACCTGTAATTGTTCCAGTTTGGAGAATCTTCCAAGTACGGAAAATCAATTTTGAATGGATTGTTTTTGAACAATTCGTTTTTTCCTAAAGAGAACGATTCGATCAGGGTCCATACTGAGTTTGGCTCTGATGTGAAATCGCAGTAAACTTTGAATTCAACTCCATCATCATCTGATATTCTGTATATCCCATTAATCATTGCAGAGTCGTATCGCCAATCAAGACATGAATACTTTCCTTTAAATAGAAATTCAAGAAGAAAATAAAATCATTAGTGAATTGTATAGAATGCATTAAAATCTCAAGATGCAGTGAAAAACGATTTTTTTTAATGGCTTTGCACTTCAATGTATTTAAAGCGAATTGTAGTGAATAATCCTTTCGTAACAAGCAGAACATGGATTATTTTGTTATTATTTCAATTTTCAAATTAATAACATTGATATATAAACAGCCAAATATAAATCAAAATCTTTCAAACCAGGGATAAACTTTCATACTTCTGGAAATCTTGAAAAATTTCATAGGAGAATTCTAGCCAAATAAAAAAGCCCTAAAGTCCACAATTTTTATTATTGAAAAATACCTATCACTTTCTCATTAATTAATATTAAAATCAAACTGGCTGATATGCTTCTTAACTAACAATAATCCTAATGTTATGTTTAATAAGAGTTCTCCAAAACTTTATTGTATGAAAATTGAAAATACTTTTTCTTTTCCATATTATCAGCTTTCTCCGGTCTTGAGTTATATCTCCTTCCTTATTGTGTGTTTCATACTTGTTTGTTGTCATATCCTTCACCACAAAATTGCACGGATTACTTTTACTACATTGGTGAAACGATTTATGAAACATGCTCGTCAGCTCCATATGTGGGTTGTGAATAACTTCGAACATTGCTGAGCCTCGATTATCCTCCCCGTGGATTACTTGGCTCAAAGTAAGCACAAGTAGACAACGTGTCAGGAAAACATACTTTCTTTTTGACATATTCTGCAAAGTAAAAGAGGCAAATACTGTTAATAGTTTAATTTCTATTTATTTCTAAAAACGTCAAAAAAACGTGACCTCTTCCTCGATCCAAATTCAATGTTCTTCTTATCAATAACCTGAACCTTGATTTAATTTCCAAAGTTGTATACATATACCGGTCTTTCTGGACTGAAAGTGTTCTCGTGAGATCTTTTCTTTTGAGAATGAAAGAGGACCAATGGTATTTCGAAAATTTCAGATGTGAAGGAACTGATTGAGATGTTGCAGTCCATACAACATTCATTTTTCATCCTTTGACTAGCTACATCTGCTAATTCATGCTAACTACAGTAACACCCCGATTAAATGCCTTGAAGACAGATATGTTCGTATGTGGGTCGGTAGGAATTGATGCGTGGATATTTTATTGTTATAAATTGAGCTTCTAGTTCTATTAAAGGTATTATCTCCCGATGCGGTTCTATGGCATTGTAAATTCCAATTATTTTGTCCACTGATTGTCTCGTTCCAAGTGTCGAACTTAATTGCGCCGCTCGCCGCATTTAAGTCTACGAATGTTTTTGCATTAAGTATTTCATGTTTGATTACGGACATTTAAAATGGCCTGAATTGTGAGAAAATTGCTGATAGAATCCAAAAGGAATAGGAGATTGGCAGATGGAAGATTGCAGATTGTAGTGAAACGAAGAAGAAGGAGAGCTCAAGTGTTACTACATGCTGTCTTGTTGTTGACAGCTTTAAGAATAATAAAGGCGTAGAGGGCCTGCCGAAGACTTCTACGCAACCAGGGTTGGTGGAATTTGGTCTGGATAACAATATTTAGAGGCAAGAGAAGAAACAAAACAAACCTTTGCATATGCAGACGCCATGTTGGCTTTGTTGTTGCCATGTTTATTCGCGCCGAAATTCAATTATAGGCATGCGCTCTCCGCCAAAGAAGGGAATTGTGGGACATAAAATAAATTGTGCATTGAGTTCCGTACATGAAAAGACTAGCCGCGCTTTGCTTGCGTAGCTCGTCCAAGAGCTGTTGATCCAAATTTTTCTGCCGCGGTGTTGATTGAAATGTCGCACTTGCCGCACTCGTGTACTTAATTATCGATTTTAGTTCGGCATATGCGAAAAACAAACGACGAATTCTCAACGTTATGTCAATCATAAACGCGCATTTGAAGCCTATTATTAACTCTTGAAGATTGGCTGACAGAACATTGTGCATCCAAATAAAACTTTTTGGCAAAAGCAAATAAACAAAACTCTTAGAAGCCCTTCACGTAAGAAATTTTTTTTTCACATTCCAATAAAAATTTACAATGCAAATTTACTAGTTACACTACCTACAAAATACTTAACGACATTACAAGGACGATGCCACTGGGTGCAAAATACTATGACTACTCCGTGGCATCATGAAAAACTAAGACAACTTACATATGAATTACCAAAAGAAAATACAAAGAACACTACACTCTCTCTCAAATTAGGCATCAGGCGAAGATATTAGCGAATAGCAGCAAACGAGGTGTCTGCGGCAGTTTAAGTAATTTTGCGTTATCACAGATCTCACCTGATATATAATTTGAGACAGACTTTACATATTATATTTAACTAATTAATTGTTGGCTTACTATGAGAAATTTCAGGCTGGTTTGAAACTCTATCGGCTTTTTCATTGATCAACGCATGTAAATTGTATCCTTATCAAAAATGCCAAGGAAATTAAGAAGCAGGAATGAAGACCAGCAACTCCACAGCAATAAAAAGAACGACACGAGTCACTTAATGTGCATCAGAAAAACTAACCCAGGTTCGACCCTTGTTTGCATTCACACGACATTCTGGGGCGAAACCATATGCAGAGATGGGTTAGATTTTCCCAGGTCGAGCCCGGGTTGGTTGCGTTTACATTACACAAAAACTAACAAGGGTTAATTTAACCTGGGGCATTTTGCTATCCTGTAAAAGGAATGCATTTCAATGAATATAGAGTGTATGAGGAATTAAAGTAAAATTCGGAGATGTTGACTTACCAGCAAATCTCTTCAATGCGAAGACAAGACGTAGATTCTGCCTGATTTAAAAATGCGTATCACTGGCCCGGCGTCGTCAACTTGGTCTGAGATACTGAGCACTGGGGCTTGATAAACAAAACTTTATATTTGGTTGCCATGCCAGAAATCAATCCAAGCAACAAGCCAATAAAACAGTCAAGTTTTTCAAGGTATATTCAATCATTTCATCTGTGGAGATTGAATACTGATATTAAGGAGACTCTTTGATCATAACCTCCAAACCACATATCAATCTGCTATTTGCAAATTAATTGATGTTGCAATCATGTGGGTGATACCATAAAAGGGCACGACAGATTTGTTGTTTTGTTTCTAGTGTGGTGACAATGTCCTTTCATGGTGTGAGCTATTTACTATTGATATTGATTATGACAGTGACAGTTGGTTAAGACTTTTCATAGCTAGCGTAGATAAAATGTGCAAGGTGTTGTGATTTAATTATGCTCACTCGTGAATATATTTCTGATATCTTGACTGAAGATGCATGATGAGAGTTTTTTTTTTGCTTTATTATAAAAATAGTTCAGTCATTCATAATAGCATCTACGTGGTCGGTAGGTCGCTAACAATACTTTTCCACCAAGCCCTATCATTTGACCATCTTTTCACCATACCAAAATTCCAGATGTTCGCCTACCCCTTTATATTATCTATCCGATCCGTATCCTTCTGTGTCTTCCACGAGATCTCATACTTGGAAGAAACCTCTCCATGATGTTAGAAGATACTGTGTCACTTGATCTTCGTGCAACAGGCCCAAAAAGCGCAGCATTCCCTTTTGCAATGGTGCTGTTCAGTCTGTGCACTTTCTCATCTCTCCATGTGCCTTTCAACATTCTCCGGTAACGCCATAGCGCAAATGTCTGTATTTTGTCTTTTATCACTTTCCCAATGGTCCGTGCTGCTTCCATCCATAAGTAAAAATTGACCATACATACATTTGTAGGATGTTTACTTTGATCTTTATGTTGAAATTACTGACGAAAATTTGCCATCGCGCTTCTTTTCCTTATTTCATCTAAGTGTAGTAACCTAATTGACGATGCGCAGGAGCATTACCAGAATCTTAAAACTTCTAGCCTGTGCTCCAGAACCCTAACTTGAAAGTAGAGGGTCTGTGTAGACTTACTCCACGAGCCTCTGTTTCGCTACTGCCTCACTTGACGGACGCTACAACAGAGACTCATAATTCAAAGTACTCAAAAACTAGACTTACTCCATGAGCCTCTGTTTCGCTACTGCCTCACTTGACGGACTCGAGGCAGTAGCGAAACCGAGGCTCATGGAGTAAGTCTACTCAAAAACTGACAACTTCAATTTTGTCTCGTTCTCGATTTCTTTTAAAAATTTCCAAATCCACCCCCCCTGATTTGCACATTTTCACAGCTCTTTCATTCACATGTAAATTTGGAAATTTCTCTGGTGTGGATGTTACAGTGAAAAGTTCCGACTGTGCAACCGTAAGTAAATCTTTTTGCGGTATTTTCCTATAATTTTTTCCACGATGTCATGTAGAAAGATTTTTATAAGTTATTTCACTTGTTTGCATTAATTGCTGTGGCTTGTGCGTGACTAAAATGAATAAAAACCTCAGATTTTGTTGGCTCAATGATATTTTAAGTCAAATTAATGGAGATAGACAAGTATCTGAAGGAGAAAGGCATGGTTTAGGAAAATCGAAAAAGTCCTCTTTCTCGGCGCATCGGCGAGAGAAAATCCCTAGGATCAATTAATTTTAACGCTTGTTGGTGTATCATTGACATAATTATTTTGAATATGTATGGAAATACAAATTTATCTTATCCTGTTTAACAAAACTTGTTATCATCATTTTTGATTAAATTTTAGTAGGTCTCACTATGGTTTCAAGGTTCTCTGATAAAAAAATCGACACTTCGATCTTTTAAAGTAATTTATCAAATATTTGATACAAAGTGTTGCTAATTTTTTAAAGTTTTGTTTGAAATTGGTTCTTGACTATAAACTAGCGCCTAATGGCTTCACAAAGGCGAAGTTCAAATTTCGCTGGTCAGGTTGTTTTCAACGCTGTCGTCATTCAATTCTTTTCGTCAAACCAGCGCGATACTTTTGAGAGTGGAGTGTACTAAGGCATATCCTCAGGACACAAAGTTCATACAAAAATGATCCAAAGTGTTTCCATTTGCAGTAGAAGGCGAACGCAAAAACGTGTTTCTCACTGAACGCTTTGCAGTGGTTGATCCAGACTACCGCCATTACCACCCGAGCGGTAGTCAGATTATTAAAAAAAATTATTGAAACAAGGATTATTTTCATGTTTATCCTACTACTTTTATTAAACCATATTTAATTATTGAAAATATTTGATCGCGCTGCAAACCAAGCCTTTCTTCCTAGGAACATGCCTGGAATTTCCACAGAGACAGAAATATTTTTTAATCCTTATCGCTAAGGTACGGTGGCCCACAGGTGCCACGGCAAAACTTACTTTCTCACGGCAAAACTTTCTTTTTCACGGCAAAACTTTCTTTTTCACGGCAAAACTTTCTTTTTCACGGCAAAACTTACTTTCTCACGGCAAAACTTTCTTTCTCACGGCAAAACTTTCTTTCTCACGGCAAAACTTTACTTCTCACGGCAAAACTTTCTTTTTCACGGAAAAACTTTCTTTCTCAAGGCAAAACTTACTTTCTCACGGCAAAACTTACTTTCTCACGGCAAAACTTTCTTTCTCACGGCAAAACTTTACTTCTCACGGCAAAACTTTACTTCTCACGGCAAAACTTTCTTTCTCACGGCAAAACTTTCTTTCTCACGGCAAAACTTTCTTTACGTGTTGTTGTGTACGTGATATTTAGATCTAATCAATGCTTTAGACGTTTTAAACTTCGCAGAATTTGCGAATACCTACATCTTCTCTTGATAATTCTTGCAGAAAGACAGCCCAGAAATGTTCTAAAATTTATCTAGGTTGGGCTAGGCTAGGCCTATGTGCCTATCTCAACGAAACAGTACCGCATGCAAGGTCTTTGATTCCTTTGTTTTGAAAGCAGTGAAAATAATCAATTCGTTGAAAATTGGCGGGCACATAAAATTCTTGCAAAAAAATCTCGTACGTGCACTTGGCACGCTCGATTGTGGCTTGTAAAAAACCTATAAATTGGGTATTGTGTTTAATATCATATCATATCGTATTACTCACAGGGTGGGTTGATGGCTAGGTACTTAATTTTTCGAATAATAGTAATAACAATGAATAAAGAAATGAAATAATAAGCATGGGCATAATATAAGGGGAGAAAAAAGTGGTTGCCCAACAAACAACATCCATTGTTTATGAAAATTTTGCCTGACTGAATCATGGTAGATTTCTGCCTGATTATCGCTTTTTTGGAAACTTTTCAGTGTTGAGAAACTACAGTTGCCGCTACAGCCCCCTTATCTCCCCAGATCCTTGTCTACTACGCCTATGTTAGAAAAGCAAAAGGAACAAAGCAATACAACGACGAGAATCCAATGTCACGAGATAAAATTTTCAAAATAAATTTAATTTAAGTAATAAATTAAATTCAAAGAAAGTTTTGCCGTGAAAAGTAAAGTTTTGCCGTGAGAAATAAAGTTTTGCCGTGAAAAAAGAAAGTTTTGCCATGAGAAAGTAAGTTTTGACGTGAGAAAGTAAGTTTTGCCGTAAGAAAGTAAGTTTGCCGTGAGAAAGAAAGTTTTGCCGTGGCACCTGTGGGCCACCGTACTATGGAAATTGCGTGCCAATTACCAAGCCACATTTTTGCAAATAGAAGGCTAGCATGGGGGGATGATGAAATCATGGCTTGCTAGCTAGGGGGTTGAGTCGGTGTAGAGCGGATTCGAGCTGCACTAAGCGGTAGTCAGCCTGCCTAAACCAATCAAATCGTTAGAAATCACTGCCAACCTGGGGGGATGCATACAAATTTTGTTGACAACCAATGAACAACCGAGTTGACTACCGCTCAGATGGGGGGTTAAGTAGTACTGCCGCTCAACACGGCTCAAACGTTACCGAAAGATGGGGGATGCCTACATATTCTGCAAGTGGGCAAACTGTAACTTCAAAGCCGATGTGACCCATTATTTTGTACAATACTCAACTATTCGTAGGAATATATTTTAAAAGAATATTAAGACTCAAATATTCTAAAATTTATAAAGGCATCAGGATTAAAAGTCAGGCCCACAATATTCGCCAAAAGTATGATTCTTTGTTGCTCTCAATAATTGCAAATTTTATCTAGCTTTTTAAACTTGTAATTTCCAACAGGTCTGATTTTCATAAGTAATTGTCCGACTAAATGCGAGTTTTAGGCGACATTTCAAAATTCTGCCAAATGTATCTTTTTTTCTAATTCTATGGTGTTCCTCGTCTAAATGCCGTAAATTTTTTTTAGAATATCCATCCTCAGAATATTGAGTAAGATTATTTATTTCTTCTCAAGCTTGTTGTAAGGATACATGAAATTTCATTAAAGCACCGCTTGTCTCTTGAAAATTGTCTACATAAGAAATTATAGAAAGCAATAATCATTTTAGAAAACCGGGTGTGATCAAGAAATTGGTGTGGTCTAAAGGGTGTGGTCAACCCTCCATCTCATTTCGGCGGTAGTCAGATTTTTTGCTGGATCCGCCACTGGCTTTGCGATAGAATTCACTTTCAAAATCTTCGAAAACAGCCAACAGTTTTCTGCCATTTCTCGACAGTGACATTTTGTAAAGCTAACAACACGGGGGTTAGGATGTTTTTAAAAAGATACCTCGTTATGAAAGAAATTGAGGTTTCAGCCAATCAGAAAGCCGTATTTTGAAAAGCTGCTCTGTGATTGGTAGGACAGAAAGTTGTCCTGAGCGCCAGTTTTTGAGTACTTTGGATTATGAGTCTCTGTTGTAGCGTCCGTCAAGTGAGGCAGTAGCGAAACAGAAGCTCATGGAGTCTAGGGTCTGTGTAACCGAGAGCAAAATCGCGTACGGGGATTGAATTGAATTTTTTGCATAATTATCACACATCTGTGTAATCATGCAAGAAGAAGCGCTAATATTTTGATCGGTCGTGGCAGTATGATATAGATTTATTTGTTAGAAGAAAGTTTTGAAAATGTTGCTCTGCTATTTGATGTTGAAGATCTTCATTGGGACAATTCATTGGTTCTGACCATTTTGCATGGTAGAAGATGTTTATTTTCTAGTTTGGCTCGAAGTTAATGTAAAGAAGGACTTTTTGAGACAAGATCTGGTGGATACGATGACGGAAAACATGACTTTCGGAGTAGCGATAAGTAATGGAAACCGAAAATTAGACAAGACGCTTTGGCTACAAACCGTAGAGAATGATCTCTGGTTATAAACCCAAGTTTACATACAGTGGAAATTGCTCAAGTCTACATAAGAGAAGAGTTATTGTATTCACAATGAATACAAGCGTAATACCATAAAATATTGCGCTGAGCAAACAGATTCGTAAACCGGAATGGAATGACTTTTATATATCTTTTGAGCTATGGAGCCATCGGGTTCAATATTGGAGCAAAGATAGCTGACTCAAAACTGTCCTTTCAAATTATTCGGATAATTTTGGATAAAAGATGAATTAAAAAACTGGAAACTTTGTCAAAATCTTTGCAACAAGGGAGAGCTGTGCTTAAGTAATTAGGCAATCGTGTTGGGGTTCAATTCAGTATGTAAACAGATAAACTGTTGTGGGACAGGAAGAAATACAGCAATAGTCGTAATTGAAATTTTAGATAAAAATTCAAGATTCACAGAAGCAACATAGCTCTGAAAATTTGACCGGTTTTCTGAAACCTTTCATCCACGCCTGCTAGTCTCTTTTGATCAAATGCAAGGACCAATGAAAAGCGGAAAATTTGTGTTGAAAAGTTTTGTTTGTTCCCTTGCTCAATGTTCCGTTAGTCAATCGTCAAGAGCGGCTTCCGAGTCACGTTGATGATCGACATAAAGTTACGCATTCGTCTTTCGACTTTCTCACCTGCCGAACTTAAATCGAGAATTAAAGGCTCTTGCGCAACTGGCAAGCTTTGCGACTTTAATTTAAAGAACCGGTCTATAATAGTACTGCATGAAAATACAAAACATAGTCAATTTCTCAAGACAACATGATATAGAAATATGAAATATATGAATTATGAATTAAGTATGAATATATGAAATACAACACCCGCTAAGCATGACGGTTGCTCAAGAGTCTTTAAGTGAATGCGAAGTGCGACGTTTAAATCAGATAGGCACGGCTAATTTAATTAAGGGCGGCAGAAAAATTTGCGCTTGGCAGAACTTGGCGAGCTACGCAAGCAAAGCGCAACTGGGCTTTTCATGTACCGAACTCAATGCATAATTTATTTTATATCCCAGAAATCACTTTTCTGGCAAATCATGCCTATAACTGAATTTCGGCGCGAATCAACCTGGAATCAATAAAGCCAAGATGGCGTCTGCATATGAGAAGTTCTGTTGTGTTTCCTCTCTTGCCACCAAGTATCATTTTCCAGACGATATTCAACCAACACTGGTTGCGTTGAAGTCTTCCGCATGTCCTCTTTGCCTCCATTATTGGGCTGCTGTCGAGAGCAAGACAACAAGTAGCACCACTAAAACTCTCCTTCTTCTTTGCTTCACTATAATCTTCAATCTTGCCTCTGCCAATCTTCAATTCTTTCTGGATTCCATCAGCAATCTCCTCACAAATGTAAAACGCATGTTTTCGGGCCATATTAAATGTCCGCAATCAAATCTGAAATCCATAGACTTAAGCCCGGCGAGCGGAACAATGAAGATCGACGTTTGCAACGGGAGTGGCACCAAAGAATTAGTTCGGCATAGAAGAAGTTTGACGTTTGGGACGGGCCTATCAGATAGCTAAATAATTGGATATCTCATGGCCATTGAATTGCATCCGGACATAGTACATTCAATAGAATTGGCAGCTCTGTTAAAAACGATCAAATGTCCGTGCAAGAATTCCTACCGACGAACATATGAAAAAGTCTGGCATAAAGGCATTTATTTAATCGGTATGTTACTGAAGTGTATCCGTGAATAATCAGATGTAGCTAGTTAAAGGGTGTGAGGAATGAAAGCTATGTGGACTGTCACATCTGAATGAATTGCTTCACATCTAACATCTTTGAAATACCATTAGGATATAGAAAGATAATGGACCTTTCTCATTCATGAAAGGAAAGATTTCACGAAGAACACTTTCAGTCCAGAAAGAACCGTCTATGAATACAACTTTGGAAATCAAATCAAGGTTCAGGTTATTGATAAAAAGCACATTGAATTTTGATCTAGGAAGATATCACGTTTTGTAGAAGTTCCAATAATAAGTCACCAAAGTGATACAAATATTAAGAGTTTTTGCTTCATATAAATATCTCGTTTACTTTGCAGAAAATGCCAACAAGAAAATATGTTTTCCTGACACGTTGTCTACTTGTGCTTACTTTGAGCCAAGTAATCCACGGAGAGGATAATCGAGGCTCAGCAATGTTCGAAGTTATTCACAACCCATATATGGAACTGACCAGCATGTTTCATAAATCGTTTCATCAATGTAGTAAAAGTAGTCCGTGCAATTTTGTGGTGAAGGATATGACAACAAACAAGTATGAAACACACAATAAGGAAGGAGATATAACTCAAGACCAGAGAAAGCTGATAATATGGAAAAGAAAAAGTATTTTCAATTTTCATACAGTAAAGTTTTAGTTAACCTCTTCTGAAACATAATATAAGGATTGATATTACTCAAGAAGCATATAACCCAGTTTGGTTTTAATATTTATTAATAGCAAAGTGATAGGGTTTTTCAATAATAAAAATTGTGGACTCTAGGGCTTTCTTAGTTGCCTAGAATTCTCCTTTGGAATTTTTCAGGATTTTCAAGAGTATAAAGTTTATCCCTGGCTTTAAAGATTTTAATTTATAATTGGCTGTTTATATATCAATGTTTTTAATTTGATAATTGAAATAATAACAAAATAATCCATGTTCTGCTTGTTAAGAAAGGATTATTCACTACAATTCGCTTTAAATACATTTAAGTGCGAAGCCATTCAAAAAAATCGTTTTTCCTTGCATTTTGAGATTTTAATGCATTCTATACAATTCACTAATGATTTTATTTTCTTCTTGAATTTCTACTTAAAGGAAAGTATTCCTGTCTTGATTGGCGATACGACTCTGCAATGATTAATGGGATATACAGAATATCAGATGATGACGGGGGCGAATTCAACGTTTACTGCGATTTCACATCAGAGCCAAACTCTGTATGGACCCTGATCGAATCGTTCTCTTTGGGTAAAAATCATCTGTTCAAAGACTGGCCATTCACAATTGATTTTCCGTACTTGGAAGATTCTCCAAACTGGGACAATTACAGGTTAGGTCTTCTTACAGTTGCATGCTTTAAATTTCAATGAAAGTGTTGTGCAAGGGAATACTTTTTCATCCTTTAGACTACGACTGAGGGGAGGCACTAAGTGGTCTTTTTAGAAGTTCATGTAATTACCTATATTACATCCTCAAAAATTTTAAAGAGCTTCGTCTGACTATGTAAAGGGAGTACCAAGTATTTTGATCGATATTCTTTTTATGAGTGAATTCGTGAAACAAACTTTTCTTCAGACATTCTAATAGAGGAGATTTCGAAGATATGTTATGCAATGATCAAGCAACTTTCGACAGCTCAACCACCAATAAAGATATTTCTTTGAAAAAGTGATAAATGTATATTAAGATATGGATTTGTGTGATCTGAATTTTCAGCAACTTTCAAATCCATTTTTTCTATAGTTCTAACAAAAGTAAGAGAGGGTGTCTCTACCGTATTTTAGCGCAGCTGAAACAATCATCAAACTTATTAATTTTTTGTTTTACACCTTTCTAGACTCAGCAAGACAAGGATGGAGAAAATCAAGTCAACATCAACCCACTGGAGAGCAACATGCAGTTTCGATATTTTTGGTATTGATTATCGAGATTATGCCAGATTCAAACTCTCTGCATTTGATCCTCTTTGCTGTCAGTAAATGCATCGCCTAAGCTTGTTGAGTTGGTAAATATTAGAGGGCACATCGCTAAAGATCAATTAGTTAATTTTTGGCAACATGAAAATTCACATCTTCACATTGACTCTCAAGAAAATACCAATTTTTTGCAAGGATCCGTTTATACTGAAGATAATTTTGGATTCTATTTTGGCATAAACTCAGCATTTAGGTGCACTGCCAATGCCAGCAGCACTACTCAACATTGGATAGGAATATACTACCCTTGATTCAATATTTGATGATTATTTTTACATTGAGAATTTTGAGGACCTAGCCAAAAAATTATAATTGGGGCTCCCATATCGACATAAGTACTTCATAATTACGCCACCGTAAACAATTTTTATAAAAGATCAAAACAAGCGAGTGGATTGTATTAACCTTATAAAAAAATATCTTGCGATTAAATGAGTAAACTGTTTAAATTGCCCTGCATTTCGTCATATTTCAATTCTTTAAAGCAGTTGCTCAGCAATAGGCTGCTTTCTTTTCTTTGCAGAAGCAAAGGATCCCTTCTTATGCTTTTGGCCTCAATTAGCCATTAGAAATAGCTCTTAACACAACCTTGCTCTATTTTAGAGATAAAATTGATGTTTGCTTTCTTTGACGAAGAGAAGCTTCTTTCACCTGTAGCCACTTCACATAGCATGGTAAGCTGTCAAGAAATATTGCAGCAGTATGTCACTCAAAGATATGTTCCAATAAGAATTCAGTGATAGGCTTGTTTTTCCAAAGTAATGTTTGTTCCTCTTCTCTCTTCACATTCATTTTCCTTTCTTAACACAGCTTGTTCTTTGCTAATTCTTTTCTTTATAATCCAACGATATCTGCAAGCTAAGGGGAAGCATACACTTTTTTTACCTGTCATAATGAATAAAACAATGCATCAATTTGGTTGCAGCAATCAGCTGCTGCTGTGTTATTTTTGTGAATGTACGAATGAGCGACACATGTGGCGTAGGGTGCACATTTGCTAATTTCTTTAATTCCCAGGACATATGATAAAAATTGCCATATGATTGTCCTGAAGTGATGAAGTAATGTAATTATGCATACAGATGTGCCAGAAGTAAATATCGTTTGTTCGAAAATTAGATTTTGATGATCTGTCATAAATTCTTGCCGAGAAAATCTGACCATTCCAGAAATTTTGGGGCGCAGTGATCTCTTTGGTGCATTTTGTTGCATATTAAAAGAAAATTCATGTGAATTCTGCACTTTCATTTTAAGCTGCATTTGGTTTATTTTTAATGATTCATCTTATTGTTATTGCAGCTATTGTTACATTATCTTTTCAAACAAAATCATTATAGTAAACTACAAATGCAGAGACTTGATGAATTCACCTTTGGAATAAACGTAGACGTGTTAAGTTACTTATGGAACATCATACTGTGCAATAGTAAAACTGTAAAATGGTATAGATATCATCACACATTGTCAACTTATATCTTTTTTCTAGCTTTAAGTCTTCAAATTAGATATTGGTTGCTAAAGCGCTTACTTAGTCTATATCTGCTACAAGAACCCAATATGCCACTGCTAAATTTTTAATATAAACGTTTCCTCTGCAGTGTAGTAGAGTAAGTCCCAGGCCCCCTGGGCAAGGCGTAGACACTATGTAAACACGTGTGTGAATATAGATGAGTTTGCTTGCTGTACGAAGTCTGATGTCTTGCCTTGGCCTTCCACCTCATTATACGTAAATATTATATTGGCGACAAGTGAAAATAAAAGGAAACCAGTGCACCAGTATGTCGCACACCGTTTCACTACAACCTGTTCCCAAATTTAATCCCGATAGCGGAAAGGTTGGCGCAAGTATCACAATTTCGTTGAATAAATGGATTTCCGATTTTGGAACATTTACTGTTGCCACAGGCATCACCGATAACACTCATAAACGAGAGCTGTTGTTATACCAAGCTGGCCCCCGACGAGATTTTTGATCAGCTCGAAAACACCGGTGAAGCAACGACTACAGCCAAAGATAAACTTACTGCCTATTTTTGACCGCAGAGAAATCGTCGATATGACGTGTACTGTCTTCGAAAGGCACATCAAGAGCCTACTGACACATTGGACTAGTATCACACAAGGTTGCGAACACTGGCTTTACCTTGTGAGTTTGGTGACTATCTAAAATTTGAGCTGGAATAGCAAATCATCATTGGGGGAACTTCCTCTTGCCTTAGGAAGCAGGCCCTGCGAGACCCCACATACGACTTGAAAGCCATGCTGATCGATGGCAGAAGGGATGAAATAAGTCGATTTCAGTCGAAAGAAATTGAATCTCAGAAAATCGAGCCTCTTTCAGCCGAAACAAAGCAAGTTGTGGCAAAACCGACCCACAAATGTCGAAACTGTGGACGGGCATCTCACCCCCAAGACACTGTTTACCCCGCAAAAGGGTA